TATATATATATATATATATATATATATATATGTTTAATATAGTCCTTCCTACTTAACAAGTCAGTCAAAAGAATATGAAGCATGAAAGCTTTGTATCTGTAATGGTTTCTCGCCATTTTTTAAAATAATAATTAAGAGAAGTAATTGCTTTTTAATTTGCTTAGAGCAAATCAATTAAAAGTTTCTTAAGAGCACACATATTTGACTTTTTAAAAAAAGGGAAGTAAGTCATGGAAGCTGTTTGAACTGTTGCCTATCTTTCACACTTCAACTCATGTAGTCTATATATTTTTTTCCTTTACGAAAAAGCGTGTTTTAGCTACTGTAGAACATCACTATTGTAGTAGATCTGTTTGTTTTGTTACAAGAAAATTATTTTTTTAACTATAAAAAAATTGATTATTGTCGGCATGCCCCCCTCTCTCTCCGCAATGGAACTGCCCTGAGTTTTACCTTTGTAGTCTACTGTACTCAAACTTTTGTACGACCCATATCTACAGGAGATGATTTATGTGCACTTTTGCACAGTAGCCTACGTAGAATCTAGACATTACCAATATTTTTTGTTGTAACATACGAACTACGGGTTCTCTCCCTTGTTAAAATTCAATCCGATCAAAGAAAATTTCCCATGAAAATTCTAATCGAATTTTATTTATTCTTTTTATATTAAAAATATTAGTCATATAAATGTCACAACTATTATTAAAAGACTATACTTAGCTTGATGTGCATTGGTTTTTACATGTAAACTTGGTGGTGTAAAATATAAGCAGGTCGATGTCGTCTCACAGTCCGAGATAGAAATGACGTGAACAACAGTTCACTTGTTGAAAAAAAAATACCATTGTATGCCAAGGGAGTTATCCCCTTGTTGTTTACATACAAACTATTTAGATCTACTTGCCAAGTGGTCTTTTTTTAGAATTCAGTCTTTGCCTAATATAATTCTTTTTTCCATAAATAAAATAACATTTACATTTTCCCATAAAAACAGTTCTTCCTTAGCTTTGCTGAGAAAAACAAGTATGATCGAGTATTGTGTTTGTGATACAACGATAAATTACTTTAAATAGTGCTATCGCGTATTTTGGATACTATTGCACTGTATGACATAAAGGCGTCGCTAGGGGTGCGGACACTTTTTTTTAATATTTAAAAAGTAGTAAACAGGATCCATAACTACACCGTTGACGACACCCCAAGGGAGACAATACGTTTGAAGATACCTATCAATAGCTTACATCAAGTAATTCTAGCCGACACTGGTAAAAGTATATATTTTCTAAATCAGTGTTTCTTCCAGACTTTTTTCTCCAGAGGGGGGGGGGGGCGGACACACTGGTAAAAGTATATATTTTCTATATAAATTTCTAGTTCGTGGGGGGGTACACATTCTTCGGGGGTCTCCGCCCCCCGCCCCCCCCCCCCCCCCCCCCGAAGAGATGCACGGAAGAAAGACTGTTCTATATAAATCCCATTTCCTTCGGGGGTGGTAGACTCCCCCCCCCCCCCCCCCCAGAGATGCCTGGAAGAAAATCTGATAACCAAATAGAGAGCCACCAGGAAATAAAGAGGTGACAATAAAAATACATGTTTAAAACCTGTTGTGAACCGAAAGATACCCAGCTCACTACGCATTAACTGTTCAGTGATCTGAATGGAAAACTACTGCGGTAGAAAATTTTCGGGGGGGCTTCCTCCCCCCCCCCCCCGAAGAGATGCCTGGAAGAAACTCTGCCACCGGCTTCCACTCCCATGAGTGAGCACGGCTGCGCGTGGGACGACCACCAAAATGCCCTTTTTTAAAAACTGTTTAACGAAGTTTGTATTGTGGAAGGATTTTGATGTACACGCCCATGATTTAGTCGATTTTGCGGTCAAGTAGATCTATCGCTAAATAGATTTTTATATCATTACAAAGTTTATTTTAACAAAGTAATGCATTTTATAAAGATTTCGACCGCAGTTTAGTAACTATATAAAATAAATGAACATTTAAAATGCGATTTAATTTTTTTATGTAAAATAAGTACATCAACAAATATAACTGTTTCCGGGTTAAATAATGGTGATTGACCTTTTAGACTTTTACTTAGCCTTATTATTTATATTTTGGAAATCTGAAAAAAAAAGAAAATTGAGACGAGGCCTCCGATTCTCTAAATCTATAATCTATAGATATATTAGTAAGTTCAAGATCAACTGTTGGTGCTAGACCTACACGTTTTAACTATAACTAATTGTAACTATCCAATTGAAATTTATCACTGGTCTGATTCACTTCACTTGACTTCACCATTAAATTAATAATTCAACTTTCAGCACACAACATCGACTCATGATCATTGTTGTTGAGTTGAGTGAGAGGGCAACTTGAGGGCTACCCTACCCACTCTGAATACTGACTCAGTAACAGTAATTTATTCAACGCTTTGCTTTGCGTACACTTTAAGCTGAGTGTACTTAGTACTTATTAAAACATAACCAAAGCTTACAAAATACTACAAAAATGTTACTAAGGAAAACTCAATTTTTTGGAACCTAGGCTGCCTAGGCAATATTTGGGTAAAATCATGATATAGCGTCGGAAATTATATGATAATGTTTGTTGAGTTTTGGTAACATTCGTTACTGTAAACCATAGTTTATTTGACTGTTGAAATAAAAATAGCGAAGTGCATTAAATTAATGTTTTAACTTAATTTAATGTTTAATTGACAGAAAATTAGCAACAATTACTAAATCTAAATATTATTAATAGTAATTGGGTGAGTATTTAAAATGCAACTGAAACTGAAATCAATCCTTGCACATTTTTAAACATTAGGGTAAAGGAGGGCGTTAAGAGCCACACTTTTTAGCACCTGTACATTTTTAAAGATTTCTACTAATCTAAGAATTTTTTAGTATTGAAAATATGGCAAAATTATTCTAACATATCTTACACAATATAAAAATAATAACAAAGTCTATTAAGTATACTTTAAATGGGTTTAATTGAACATTTATTGTCATACCCCCAAAATCAGCATTTGGGGTGAAAGGAGCCGGGCAGTGGGGTAATAAGTATTATCTCCTAGTTTAGACTAACTCCGCAATAAAAATAATTAATTTCTAACCCCAAAATAGTTAATGCTGTGTACACACACTTTAACTGATACTAGCTATCACTAGGCCCCAATGGGCCCAGTCTACAATTGATACAATTGCTGGTGTACATAGGGCCTAAAGTCTAGTAGTTTACAGTAGGCACATTAGTATGCCTAGTGTGTAGCTAGTATGCTAGTGTGTAGCTGTCCAGAGTTAACATTCTTGTATGTAAAAAGGGGTGGTACTAACTAATCTGCCTTAATGCTTTCCCCTGATAAGCCATGTGTGCTATACATTACATAACATGACATGGAGGTGAGAAATGTTGAGGGGAGAGCAGTGGTACTGGTTTCCCCTTTGTTCTCCTTGCTGGACCCTGAGGGCCATAAATTACATAAGGAGATGCTATCTCTGGTTGGCTGAGATCTAAGAACTTAGTCCATGTTACCTACAAAGAGATGAAGTTTTATGGTGGGTTAGATACAGGTGGGGTCTGGCTATCATGGAGGTGAGAAATTGTGAGGGGAGAGCAGTGGTATTGATTTCTCTTTGGTCTCCACCCTGCTAGACCATGAAGGTCATATATTACATAACGTGCCACCCCAGACTGTCTGAGATCTGTAACTGTAATCCATGTTACCTACAAAGAGATGAAGTTTTATGGTGGGCCAGAAACTGGTGGGGGCTGGGTATCATGGAGGTAAGAAATTGTAAGGGGGGAGCAGTGGTATTAATGTGTCTGTTTACTTCCCTGCTGGACTATGAGGGTCATAAATTACATAACATACCACCCCAGATTGGCTGAGACCTAAGAACATTTATTCCTGTTACCTACAAAGAGATTTGAAGTTTTATGGTTGGTTAGAAACAGGTGGGGGCTGAGTCGGCTGTATTGCCCCTTAGGGGTAATAAGTATGTGTACCGTTTTAAAAATTACCTGGCTAACATCAGATGGCTGAATTTTTACTTTTTAGCAGGTTAGAATTGTATTTCTATCATTTAGACACAAGTCTGTTTAACAATTAATACATTTTGTGTTAACTATTCCTATACCCGTGTCATATTCAGTGGTCTAATAAATGAGAAACTCGCACATAGGGTTTCAAGAGCCACATAACAGTATCTGTTATAACTTTTCTAAACAGGCAAGCTAGTGAACAAAATTAATGTATTCATGAAGATTTAGTTATTATCTAACAAATAAAACCATTATGGTAATGATCAGTCCAGTTTTACTCTGATAATGATAAAAACTTTATAGCATGGTAAAATGGGACAAATGTCGGCCATTTTGTTTTGGCACCAATAATCACTGTGCAAAAAAAAATTCACCAAAATAAAACTATTCTAGCCATAGCTATAAAAATAGTGTTAAAATGTACAACAACCAATGCTCTAATACAGGAACAAAGAATGGGCTTGAAAAACTCATTTGGTTTATTACAAAGTGAAGTTTCCCAAGTTATGTCTATTTGGAAAAAAAGTTCACAAAATGGTTTTATGGAGATGAGAAATTTTAGGGAAAGAGCAGTGGGATTAAATCCTGTCTCATCCTCTCCCTATTGGACTAAGTGGGTCATAAATTACATAAAATGAATCCTCTGCTTCTCTGTTATCAAAGAACAACAGTGGTTGTTACCTCAGAAGTAGATTAGTAGTGTTATTGGGGGTTTTGTGGGGGTGGGGTGTTGATTGGGGCTTAATACCACACGGCTCTTAACGCCCTCCTTTACCCTATGTATTAAAAATAATATGGCGGCAAATAAATGATGGTTTACAGTATTTCCGGTGGTTTCCGGAACGGCTCGACAGAATTCACCATGGTTTTACTGTTTTTTACTGCTGTACAGTTCCAGAATAATATCCGACACTATATAATGATTTTACCAATATTTGTTTTTATTTTGGGAATTTTATCAAAACTTGAGAAAAATCCCAATTTGATATGCCTAGCAAGTAGCTAGATTTGAATCTATAGTATTAATAAATGTGTCTAATTTAACTGTTTGCTTTACTTGAAAATTGTATTTGTGTTAAGATTTTATTAGGTATTGGTAAAATATGAACGCCATGTATTATTTCAAATATCTTTCATGCCTGGTTATAATAATTTTTGTGAACTCAAAGTGACCCCAAAAGTAAAAAAGTGTCATCACCACAATTTCAAATAGCAATTGCCCAAGCTATGACATATGCTGATATCTAAGCCATGTAGGGAGTTTTCTCCCTGTAACATAACAACTTACAAGAGCCGGTAATCACACAAGTGTAAACAACCATGTAACTGAAACATGTCTTGCAATTTTTGTCTCGTTATTTCATTGAAACTTTTTAATACTTATTTACAATTTTGAAGTTCTGCTTTTTTTTTTACCTACAAAACATATCATTTATCTGTTGTTTCTATTCATTGTACTGTACTCAGTTCTAAACTAATTAAAACACAAATTCATAAAAACAAAGAAGACAAGAAGTACATAAAGGTTTTTTCCTAATATTTGTTTATGTCTTTTGGTTGTTTTAATTAAATACTCTCAACTGTAGGTGAACTTGAAGTGGTGAATAAATTACAAATAGTATTAGTGTAATACTAGGCCCTATACTTTGTTTCAATAATTAACTATTTCCAATCTACTCACTCAGTCTACACTATATACTCAGTCTACTGTTCTGTAACAATTTAGTAACCTAATACTCCTTTCTATAGATTCTATTATTGTGGCATTATTGGACACTTGTATAAGTAAGTTAATATAAATCCATATCCCCTATTAAAATTCTTAAGGCCATTTAACTATCTGTAACCTATCCTTAGTTTACTTGGTAACATCCACTTTTTTAAAGAAAGATTCCATTATATATTATTTGGGCATTATATTTATTATCAGACATTATCTACCACTGAAACAAAGCCCTTAATTTGTAGATTTACACACATTTTGTATTTTTTTCACAGAGATCAAAAACTGGATTCGACTATCTAGAACTATATCACTTTATGATGACATAGATCAAACTAATATTTTAGTTGCAACTAAAACTATAAATTAAAATGGGGTTTGAAGTTGAAGAAATCCCAATAATTGAACTGAACATGATGGACAAGAGGAAATACTTTCCTCTTACACTGGCAAGTGGACTGACCATTCGGAGTATATTGTATCCATTCATGCTCATCAAAACTAGGCTGCAGATTCAGAAAGGACGCACAGTTTATAGAGGAACTTTTGATGCTTTTATACAGATATCCCGCATGGAAGGTGCATCTGGTCTTTACCGTGGATTCTGGGTAAGTTCCATATTTTTATATCTGACTTCAGAAATATATCTATTAAAATATCACACTGACATTAATTGGCTGATATCAAGTTTAGCTGACAAGTGCAGACAAGTGTTATAATACTTTAGGTGATGAAAATACTTTTTTCCAAATAGCTGTCATGCCTTCAGCTGTTCCCATCTATGGCCTATATATCCACTTATGAGGGTACTAGACACTATCTGCTTGAAACTCATGGGGTTACAGATAACAGGATACGTTCATTTGTTGGTAAGATTTTTACATTAATCTCAGCATTTCATGGTGATAATTGCAAACTTTTTTACAAAAAATTGTAGATTTGAAATCGGAATCACATGGTTAAGTTCAACTTATTAAATATCTAAAATTGAAATGTAATTAAAACTGCCATCTAGACTAGACCTATTCATACTCTGACAATGAGAAAACCTGCATATATATATGTTTTATATATTATATCTGTTGACTATAATTAACTACACAAAGTCAGGGAAAGGTTAAATCCTTACTTGAGCTTTATTTCTAATTTAAAGGTGATGTGTTCTAAGGGTCTTTTTATGTACTTTAGTTGCAATCATGCAAATAGACCAAAGTTGTTGTTAATGTAGTATGTTGAGCCAAAAAAAAGTGTTTTATCTGTAGTTGTATTTACTTTGAATACTAACAACTAAATAATGCATCATCAGTTTCCCTTCACCACTCATCTATATATATAATTCTCTTCTGGGATCAGTTAGAAAAAAATAATAATCATTTAAAAAGTTTTAAAAAACCCACGTTTTCTGATTGAACTAAAAAGTAGAAAATAAATGTTATACATCACAATAATGCAAGCGATCACTCTACTATAAGCGATCAAAAACGTGGGGCGCCGTGATTTTCTTACAGTTTCTAATACTATTGACTTTTATTAGGGAGCTTGTAGTCTTTGTCTGTTTGTTTGCATTAAAATCTCGTAAAAGTTGTATAGCATTAAAGTCTCGTAAAAAGACAACTCGTAAAAAACACGTTGTGTGAATACGTTACTGACTAGAACACATAGATTTGAACCCGCGCCGAGTGGGATAGCAATCGTGTGCCCAACCACTCGACCATATCGTCTCCCCCATACTGGCCACCAGTTGTTACGTTCTGGTTGTTTGTACACAAACACTGCGTGAACACTAGTCAGTAAGCAAAAAGAGGGAGAGTCCCGAACCTTGTTTTCATCAAATTACAGTTACTGGGTTATGTCCCTTTTCCCCCACGTTTTTGTACAATTATATAGCGGCCTAAAATGATCAATAAAATGTTTCCATGGATCAATTTAGTAATAATAACAATTGAATATTCTATGGTCATCGGAAACAAAGCTTCCCTGAAAATTTTCAGCGCGCTAGCTAACCGGGAAGTGCCCGAAATTTCGATCGCAAGATTTGATTAGAGAACCAAACAGACGCGAAAGCAAGTTAAAGAAAACGTGGGAACAAGCTGCAAGCGCGCCTTTGCAATCCCCTCTCTTCCTCTCTATCACTACCACCCCCACCCCACCCCCACAAGATCTGGTGAGCGGTGTTCACTCTGTTTACATTTTACAATCATAGAGACGGGTTTGGTGACGGCTATTAGGGGCAGATAATTTAGTTTGAAACGATTTTAAACTTAGAGGAGGTAACTAAGAGGAGGCTGCTTTCACGTGGGGGGGGGGGGGGGGTAGTGTTTTTAAGCAAATATTTTCAATGGCAGCATTATAAATTACTGAAAAGTAGAAAAAAAAACAACTAAATAGCTGCATATGATACGCAGCGGGTCGGCTCGTATCATAGATTAAACAATAAACATTGTCTTTCAAGGTGGTGGATTAGCATCAATAACAGGACAAACATTAGCAGTTCCAATTGATATCGTTACACAACACCTGATGTTAATGGGGAGAAGGAATCCTGCCAAAGGTAGTGTTGTTTCTAAAATATCTGTAGCTGCAAATGTTGAAACCACAGCATAGAGCAAACAAAAATCTCTGACTTCCCATTTTATTTCTGTTAGCGTCGGGTCAATCAACATTCCCAGGCACTGACAAGAGAGCCCAGCAAAAAGTCTCATCGCTACAACATTTTCATTTATCTGAATCTGATGCTCGATCTCGCTTTGGTGCTGTACGAGCGATTGTTAGAGTCATCTATAAGCAAGATGGTCTGCTAGGTTTTTACAAAGGTTACTTCATCTCATTAGCATGCTTTGCCCCTAACAGCGCATTGTGGTGGTTCTTTTATGATTCTTATTCAGGTAAGTTTATTTTTATACTTGCAATAAAAACTTTAAAAGTATGTTTCTACATTATAAAACTAATAAAAAATATGTAAAAAAAATGTGCAAGAATCTTTGATTGAACTTTGATCCCCAGTTCTGTTTGCCAGTGTTACTCCTGTCTTCATTCCACGGTTGGCAATCCAAGTTGTGGCAGCTCCACTCAGTGGCATTAGCTCAGCTCTCTTAACTAATCCCCTAGATGTGATTCGTGCTAGGATTCAGGTACTTTCAGTCTTTACTCAATGGGCATTATTTACGTATTGTGATTAAGCCATTGAAGCCATATTGATGAAGTCCATTAATTGTATTGTGATTAAGCCATTGAAACCATATTGATGAAGTCCATTGATTGTATTGAACAGGTTGAAGGCACCAAGCTGGGGGAGACTGTCAAATTGTTGTGGAAGGAAGAAGGAATATGGATCATCACTAAAGGCCTGTCAGCACGTCTAGTTCAGTCTGTCACTTTCTCTTTTTTTATCATTTTAGGATATGAAACCATTAAAAGATGGAGCATTCTAGATGAGTATAAAGATAAAGTGCGATGGTAGCAGACTTAGGCTGTAAATAGTTTTAGCCCACTTTTTAATCTTCAGAAATTTTATGGAAAGACAGGATTTTTTTAAAAATTCCAAAGTTGTAAATAAACTGCAGCTTTTATACCGAGGCAACCAGCCACAATAACAAGCTTTTAACTACCAACCTATACTAGACATTGTCAAACTGATCTGAGTGAAACGTATCAGTTATTTTCATTTGGATCACCACAGCAGAGTTTATTTAATACTTGATGTCTTCCTGATTTTGGTTTATAGCACTTTATTTACCTAGTTTAAAGATGTTCATCTGAAATGAAATCACTTTAAAGGTGATATTTTTGTACATGGTAGCAGTGAGTATTGTCCCATTTCTTTACATCATGAAACTTAGATCTGCTAACTTGAAAACTTAGCCTTGAAATGAGCATTTTTTGATGAAGCATAAAGTCTTGATATTAAAAGTATTTACTTGATGTCATTTAGTGCCAGCCACTCTGGTTTGTGCTCAACAGAAGCTCTTTCTGCAGAAATCTGTATTGTGAAGTAGAGCTGGTCTTGTTGTAGAAGTACTTATGTTAATCAGCTTTACTACTGTTTCCCCTGTTTAATCTGCTAATTGATTAAAAAAGGATAACTCTTTCCCATATAGCCAGGATTTTTAAAAATGTTGATTTTTTTTTTTCACAATTTGTACTGAATATTTTTTTAAATTGTATCATATGATGGACGTTTCGAAACTAAGTCATCTAAAAAAAATCACTGAATAAGGTATGCAATGTTTGTAGTCATTTTTGAGGTAAATAAAACTTAAAATCTTTAACCACAGGTAAGTCAATGACATGATCTCTATTGAAATCAGGTTAAGCCTGATTTTCTCTAAACTAGGTCATATTTATTGATTGATTTTATTCTCTGTAAACATGCACCGTAAAGCAAATTGTTATTATGTTTAATGTCATTTTATGTAATTCTCTGTATACTGGCATCAAATATTGACTCAGGTATTGAAGCATAAACTTTTTTAGTGAATCATCTTCTGTAATATAATATGGTAAAGTATTTATTAAAACATTAACTCGCAGTAACTCATACATATAAAAGACATTTTTAAACATTCAGTTTGTTTTATAAGTAATATTCATGCATGGATTTCAGTTAGTATTTTTTTTAAATGTATTTTAAGTAATATTTGGCTCACTATTTTAAAAACTTTGCTCTAAAAAATTTTTGAAAGTTATCAATTAACAGTTTAAAATAATTTGTAAAATCAAAAGTCTGTGATATATTTGAATTGTACATGAAGACGAGTTTCTTTTATTGTTGTGCAGAGATGCATCAGTTCTTGTCTTATCAGTTCTTGTCTGTTAAAACTTATATGTAAAAGTATTTCGTCATGTCTATCTGTAAAAACTTAAAATATATGATGTATGTGTTAATGATAAAATATCTCATTGATTTTGTTAACAACTTATAATGGAGAATGTAAATGAAAATTTGTTATAAAAAAATAATTGAACAAGCCTTGTTATCAAATTATTATTTGTATAAATGTATGTAAGGAAGTTTTCTTTCCTTTCTGTGTGATGTTTTATGATCTTTATGTTCTTCCTGTGTAGGTATAAGTAACAAGTGACGACTGGGTAGTTTGATCATGGGAACTGGGTGTCAGGCTTAAGGAAATTGATGATGTAATGATAAAAAGAATGATGCAATACCTCAATTTAAAAAAATGCACCAGAAAATGTTTATCAAATATTCTAGATTAAAAATGTCTGATTTGTTTAAATGTAGTTTTATAGTACCTATATTTTGTTTTTAATATTAATAATACATTTTTTTAAAAACACGAGCTATTTCACTGGAATGGTTAGCTTTTTGACAACATTTCAAGTAAAACAACAAATGCCAATAAGATTTCAAATGAAGTTTTATTTGTGCCATCATTGCGATCATAAGTTTCAGTTGTTTTATTGGGAACAATTGATAAAATTATAAATTTTCTTATAAAATATTAAATAAACCTTTTTTTTTCAAACTTGTTTGACGTGTTAAACACTATTCTGTATCTGTAATTTTCCTCATAAGTTGAATTCCTCTAGTTTTTAGGTACATTAGAAGGGTAGATAGAGCAGGAATAGATCACCAGTTGCTATAGAAACCAGAGTTATCTTCACGCCGCCTCTTCATTGGAATTCTGCCATCCTCTTCATCAACAAAAGTATCTGATTCACTGAAATAGATTGGTAGGTTGTCAACAAAAGTATGTGATTCACTGAAATAGATTGGTAGGTTGTCAAAAAGGGTAGATACTACTTGACCAGCAGTTAGTGTGTTATCTTCCCTTTCACCCACTCGCACACATTTAACATTTTACAAAAGCTGGGACTTAGTAATTTTGTCAAGGAGGGTCAATGTGAATGATCCCCCAAAAATTCCAATGTGGGCCATTTAAAACAGAGAGGGAAAAAAACCTATTGTACACCTAAGACACATTTCAAAAAAATTATTTAACAATTATAGCCGTGTTGACCTCCACGCCCCCTATCGCCTTACGGTACTACAAAAAGCCTTTTAAAAAAAAAAAACTTCCAAGCCTCAACCTTTTATTAACCATGATAATACGCACGTTAGAATGTATTCAGCATAATGTCATAATGTACTTTAAAGCAAAATGTTTGTCACAGTTTTTGACCAACCATCACAAAAACTACCCACCCCACTCCCTTTTTTCTCTCTAGGTAATTCACGTCATTTATGTGCCTGTTATAAAACAGAGATGAATTATGCATAATTAATGTTTGACTTTATTAGCGTCGCGAAGATAATCCGCCCTCTCGAATCATCAGCCCCCCCCCCCCCCACCTCCCATTGCCTATTGCTGCAACAACCCTGCTGAGACCCGTGGTATGAAATTATGAGATTGTTAACATCCAATCATTGAGTCATTAAGATGCCAGCCTAATTAGCTTGTACGTGCGTGCCGCTTAAGAACACTGTGTAATCGTATGTCCATATAAAGGTTACAGACAGCCTAGTAAAGTGTTCTGATTGCTGTCTTGTTGTGGGGATGTTGTGGGGATGTTTTACAGACAGCCTAGTAAAACATGCCAAACCATCTTGAGAAAATAAAGTAAAAGTCCTACCATCCCCCCCCCCCACCTACACACACATAAATCAGCGATTTCCCGCTCTGGTGCGTGCATGAAAATATAAATATTAGATAAAATACACTTTATGGATACACTAGGCATACTGCCTAGCTTCGCTTAGGTTTTCAAAAAAATTGAGGAATTGAATAATTAATTAATAGGTGATTGGCTGCTATCTTAAATGCATAGGGCCTAAATTTATACAGTGGAGTAATTAAATGTTGAAAAAATATTGATGGAATATTCGCAAACTTATTACTCGTACGGTTATTAGAACTGCAAGGGGTTTCTGAATAGTATCAATCAAATATTATAATAAATTACTTTTACAATTAATTTTTACAATATCAGTACAATGCAAAACTTAATTTATAACAAAATATTTATTAAAAACAATGCTATACTCTATGATTTTTGTTTTTTTCTTGAAAAGAGAATACAAAATATTTAAAAATTATTACATTAAAAAGTTACTTCCCCTGTTCATAGACCAAATGACCAAATCTCGTATAATGAGAATTTCACTCGCGGTCACTTTTTAGCACTCGTCGAGGGCTTTGAGTGAAACCGACAGTTTTCCCTAAAGGTCAAGCCATTTACCTAAGAGCATGCAAAAAATTAGCCAAAGACTGTAAGTGCCCTCAAATCCGTTTTGAAATCACCCTCTGTTTTTCCCATAAAATACAAAGATTATATAGGGAAATACGACTGGTCAGTTTTGACCCATTTAACGAATTTTCCCGGACACGGCGAGTTTTTTGTGACACCCCAAGGCGTTCTCCTACCACCTCACAAAATTTCAAGGGGGGTCGTCGGAGGAAATTTTTTTTCGTAATAGAGCTCATATAAAGAGAATTTCACTCGCAGTCACTTTTTAGCCCTCGTCGAGGGCTTTGAGTGAAACCGACAGTTTTCCCTAAAGGTCAAGCCATTTACCTAAGAGCATGCAAAAAATTAGCCAAAGACTGTAAGTGCCCTCAAATCCGTTTTGAAATGACCCTCTGTTTTTCCCATAAAATACAAAGATTATATAGGGAAATACGACTGGTCAGTTTTGACCCATTTAACGAATTTTCCCGGACATGGCGAGTTTTTTGTGACACCCCAAGGCGTTCTCCTACCACCTCACAAAATTTCAAGGGGGGTCGTCGGAGGAAATTTTTTTTCGTAATATAGCCCATATAAGGCGCCGGTCAGTCGAGGTCAATTTTGACCCCCTCTCCGTAGACTTTTTGGCCAACCGTCACCGGCCCTCGTGTTCTATCGCCCCAAGGCACCATCGTTCCAAATTTGACGCGCCTGCGGCGCCGGGAAGTGCCCTATTGGGCACCTGACCACTTTGCTTTATATATATAGATTATAGCTAGCTGCATTCACGGACCATCTGTAGACCATTGTCAAACAAGACGAAGCGATCACACAAGAGATGCAGGCAGGCCAAGTCACGACGATGTAAAGCAAGAGTTACCTGACCCGTGTCTCCTTCTTGAGGCTGTACAAAAGTTTATAAAGTAGTTGTCGAATCAATACTTTGTCTGAAACATGCATAAACAAAAGAAAATGTTAGAGAACTTTTATTTACAATTGAAAGAAATATTCGCGAAAAACGTGCCGACGAAATGTGTGCAAAATTTCATATAAGGAGAAAAATGTGAAAACGTGTATAAAAAGTGTTGTGTGAGATACACTGTGTAAAAACAAATTGTGTGAAATGCTGTGTGTAACTCAAGTGTGTGAAATGCTGTGTGTAAATCAAGTGTGTGAAATGCTGTGTGTAAGCAAAGTGTGTGAAATGATGTGTGCTAAACAAAGTGTGTGTGTGAAATGCTGTGTATAATTTAATATAAAACAAAGTGTGTGAAATACATACATCAAATTTGTGAAATGCTGTGTGTAAAACAAAGTGTGTGAAATGCTGTGTGTAAAAAAAGTGTGTGAAATGCTGTGTATAAAACAAAGTGTGTGAAATGCTGTGTGTAAAACAAAGTGTGTGAAATGCTGTGTGAAATGCTGTGTGTGAAATGCTGTGTGAAATGCTGTGTGTTAAACAAAGTGTGCGTGAAATGCTGTGTATAATTTAGTATAAAACAAAGTGTGTGAAATACATAAATCAAGTTTGTGAAATGCTATTTGCGAAATGCTGTGTAGAATCAACTGTGTGAAATGCTGTTTATAAAACAAAGTGTGTGAAATCGCATGTGTGAAATGACGTGTGTGAAGTGAAATGCTATGTGTGAAATTCTGTGTGAAATGACGTGTGTGAAATGCTCACGTTTCTGGCACTCGTCAGTAAAGCCCTGACCGTCCCAGCAGAGCGCTATCAGCAGCATCTCACTGGCCCGTGGACTCGTCACGGTCTGTTGGGCCTCCAGCTGGTTCAACGGTTGGCTGACTGAGGCTGGTGGAACATAGGGAAATCTTACTCACAACCTTCGTACGTTTAACACACACTCACACTCACACACACAAGCAGTATGCAGACACAAACACACACGCAAAAACTATATACACACTTTCAAACACAAACAAAAATGTAGGCATACAGACACATATAATGTAAAAAAGTAAAGTTCCTTTTTATGGTCAATGGGGTAAGTGAAGTAGATTTCACCTGTTTCTGTAACCTCAGCATTTGAAATGATAGTGTGGTCAACACTTTGCCTGGCCGCTTTTTACCCTTACGTAAGGAAGGTACCCATCAGAGCTGAGTGGGCTCAGGGACGTTCTACTGACTTGAACCCAGATTCAAACTACAAACACATATATAGCCCTTGTATGCACCTATATATATATATATATATATATATATATATATATATATATATATATATATATATATGTGAGCGGGTGAATGGATTATTTTGTATTATTTTATTTGTTGCGAATCTGGGAGTGCATGGTGGTCCAATGAGGATCGGTCACGGGGTCCCCTTCCGTCCGAAGCGGTCAGTATAAATTGACCGGTCGGACGATCTTCTTTTTTTTTTGACCCGCGGCGAGATGTAGGTCGGGTCAGGTTTCTGCGTGGCGCACCGCACGCGTGGAGTGAAGTTGCTTGGGCAACTTGGCTGGGTGTTTTGTTATATATGAATTGTTTTGTTATATATGAATTGTTTTGTGTGGTGTAAAAAGATTGTTTTGTTATATATGAATTGTTTGGCGTAAAAAGTTTGTTGTGTACGTACCGTTTTCTACGTAATGTATTGTACGTAACGTATTGTACGTAGTGGTTTTACGTAGTGTTTTGTTTGGTGCGGACTTTTGGATGTCAAGAATGGATGAAGGGAGGTTTCTGTGTGTCAGGGCCTGGACCATCCTAGACATCATAAGTCGGCGCAGCACCATCAAATAGTCGAACGTAATGTTTTGTTTCGTTGAGTTCTATTTGTTTTGTATGTCTTGAGTGTTTTATTTTGTTTAGATCTAGACTAGATTCTGGTTTTTTTATAATAACTTTTGGTTCCATATTTATTATTTTGTGAAATAAATTTTATATTATTGTTAAAGTTTTTTGTTTTTAATTTAGACTAAGGTTAGGTTATTAACCAGCCTGGGTTTAGCCGGGCTTGCACTGACCGGACAGTAGTTAGTTAGATAAGCCTAGGGAAGGGTAAGATAGATTTTAAGGTATCCCCCCTAGCAGGGCTTACAAATATATATATATATATGTGACCGAGGCTAGTTGCATCTTCTGCTCGCAACGCCAAATGTAACCTTCCCGAGTCTATCCTGCCGACAACGCCAAATGTAACGAGTCTAACCACTCATTCTACACAACATCGACCACAGTATAGATACTCGAAGATGCAGGTTCACTATTGATCCTTTTATTACATGAATCAAGGAAATGCTTCATAATAATATAATGAATCAAAAGAGATGTTTCACAATAATAGTCTGAATCAACTGACCCCCAACAGTCCTCACTAGTCTTCACATAACTGAATGCACATGTCTATCGTCCTTATTAACACAATACGGCTAACCCGTTCAATAACCAACTTGATACTGCCACACTTCTGACTGACTGATCTCCTATCTCAGTTCTGTCTCCAACTCCTTTCTGCGCTTTCTACCAGTCCTATATATCCCTTCGTATTCGTAATCGGATTCGTAATCGTAATCGTAATCGATTCTAATCGTTGCATCAGAATGTTAATTACGCCGCTTCTGTCGTACAGTCCGATTAATAAAACACCTGCACTGTTTCATCAGCCAAGTCGTGTCAAAGTTGACAGCGCTTGTCGTATCCTTCCAAAATACGCCGTGGCTTTATGATCGTTATCAGTTGGCTTATCAGTCCAACACCTGCACTATTGCGTTCTTAACAATAGTGACTAGTAACTAGGCCTACACTAGTTACATCCACCGCCGCCTTTTTTTTGTGTGTTTTCAACCACAAACAACGCTTGGTAGGTGCACTTCTTAAATGTCAATCTCACCATCGTAAAAAAATTTATTGTTCCATTCACTGTCAATGTCGTCCCATTCGTAAAAGATTGACAGTTATCCCTATTTCACATATCAAATGTGTCTACATCATATTCCTCAGACACAAGGCAGTTCTAGAATTCACATCCACCTTTTTCGTTTGGTGCCTTCACCAGTTCACTTTTATAACTTTTTTTGAACAGTCTGTTCTCATACCAGCGCGACCATGAAAGAATTGATGGTTGCTGACGAAAAATTTCGTATTCTTTCTGTTTCTCAAACTTCTCCGCGGACCACTTATCTGCTGTTCTACTGTGTCTCTGCTTCTGGGAGGACCGGGATCCTCCTTGTTGCCGTTATCCTCCCCTTGTGTATCGCTGTTGCGCTGTTGATGGTGACATGGTTCCGGGATGGGTATGTGAATTTCCGTTATAGTTTCCGGTTCCCTAATTGTCTTAGGTTTCCTTGTGTGTAACTGCTCTTCTTGACTATGACAATATTTCTTTAATTGAGCAATATTCGCCCACCGATCCGGTTTGGTGTGATTGATGGGTCTTATCTTAAAGGGGCCACCAGCTACTTTAGGCATCTCCACGACTTGCCATATCTCCTGTCCCCAGAGGTCGTGGATTTTGTTTCTGCCTAACGGGTGGCTACGCAGTAATACCCTGTCGTTCAGTTTGAGTGGCGGGTCCTTTGTCTGTACCGGCGGTTCCCTTCGCCGTGCTTCATGTTCTAGTCTTTCCTGTACTACCCTGTACATTTCTCTAATTCGTCTCATATGTTCATTCACATATTCTAGTGCGGTGTATGAGCCAGTCATACTTTCCTTTTTCCCTAGGAACAAGTCAAGGGGGAGTCGAGCCTCCCGTCCGAACAGCAACATGTGTGGCGAAAAGCCGGTTGTGGCATGGGGGGTGCAGTTGTATAGATATACCAACTCTGGGAGAAAATCAGGCCAACGTTTTTTTTGTTCAGGTTCTAGAGTACGCAGCAAATCATGCATGCTGCGGTTGAACCGCTCGCACTGTCCGTTTCCTTTCGGATTAAATGTGGTTGTTCTAGATTTGTTGATCCCGTAGTGGCTGCACAGTTGGTTAATTACTTCTGACTCGAAGGCCCTTCCTTGGTCAGGGTGTAATTGTCTTGGTATGCCATATTTGATGAACCAATGTTCTATTAAGACCTTTGCCACTGTTTTGGCCGTCTGATCTCGTGTGGGCACCGCAACAGTCCATTTGGTGAATACATCAGTCATTACCAACACATGTTCCGTCCAATCCGATGATTGCTCCAACGACGTAAAGTCCATAGCCACAATCTCTAGTGGTTTTGTCGCCAGTAAGTGTCCTGATGGCTGTCTCATTTTGACAACTGGCATTTTCGCATGCTGACACCTCACACAAGCCTCACAATGGCGTTTGACCTCCATCTCCATATTGGGCCAGTAACACCTCCGTCGTAATATTTTGTGCGTCCTGTCCTGACCCTGGTGTCCTGCCCTGTCATGTGCCAACCTTAGCACTTCTTCTCGTAACTGTCCAGGCACCACCACCTGGTGTATTGTCCCGTCTATTTGGTCATGAATTCTCCGCATGAGAACACCATCCTTTATACTGAGACGGTCCCACTGACTCAGTAGTTTCTTTGTTTCCCGACCAAATTGTTCTCTTTCCCTCTTTCCTGGGAATTTTTGTTCCTGGACGTATTTCAATAGCGGCTGTAACCCGCTATCCGTTCTCTGGGCATCTCGTATCTCTTTATTATTAAGGCAATTAAAATCACTAATGTCCATATGTCCGGGCTCTGTGGAAATGTGCTCCACCCCGGTCTGTCCGTTCTGCCTCACTTGCACCCCGTGAGGGATATCTGTTGACGCTCTGACCTCACATATTCCTGTCAGCGTTTCTTCCTCACCGCCCGGTCTCTCGTAAGGATTCCTTGATAAGGCGTCCGCATTGCCATTGGACCGCCCCGGGCGATATTTTATCTCTAGGTCAAAGAGTGCCAATTCTGCTGCCCATCGCTGTTCGATGGATCCCAACTTTGCTGTCTTTAGGTGACTCAAGGGGTTATTGTCAGTGTATACCACACATTTAGCACCCAATAGATAGTCCCTGAATTTTTCAGTCACAGCCCATTTTAATGTCAAAAGTTCTAGTTTCATGGCGCTGTAATTTGTCATGTTCTTCTCTGATTCCTTCAGAGCTCGACTGGCATACGCAATAACCCTGAAACCTTGCTTTTGTTGTTGTGATAGCACAGCTCCCAGACCTTTAGAGCTGGCGTCAATTTCTAGCCGAAATGGTTTGTCAAAGTCCGCGTATCCCAATATCGGCGCCTCTGTCAAAGCCTTTTTCAATAGCTTAAACGAGTTCAGGCATTCCTCAGTCCATAATTCACCTATCAGTTGTGTTTTACCTTTCTTTTTCTCCTTACTGTGTTTCTTTGTCATTTTGTTTACCAAGTCATGCAATGGTGCGGCAATTTTTGCAAAACCAGGCACAAATTTTCTATAATAGGAAGCAAAGCCCAAGAATGATCTGACCTCTACCGTAGTTGTTGGCTGTTTCCATTCTTTAACAGCTGCAATTTTATCGGGGTCAGTGGCGATGCCATCCGACGAAATCACATAACCCAAAAAATGTACCGATTTCAGACCGAAGCAGCATTTGTCTGGGTTCAGCTTTACTCCTATCTCCCTAAGACGGAGAAACACTTGTTCTAATCTTTCTAGATGGTCCTCCCAAGTTTTTGAGTAAACCAGTATATCATCCAAGTACACCAACATTATTTGAAATAGAAAGTCACTCATAGCACTCTGCATTACTCGTTGGAATGTAGCAGGCGCATTAGTTAGACCAAACGGCATACGGGTCCACTCGTACAGTCCCAGTGGAGAAATAAATGCAGTCTTATGTTGATCGTTGGGGTGCATGGCCACTTGGTGGTAGCCACTAGCCAAAT